TGAATGCTTAATAAACAGCTTATGTCATAAAATCTACCTGCAAACAACACAGGGTGAGTGCTAAAAATAAACAGGTCATCTGGAAGTGCCTGCCCTCCTCCAAAGCAATTTATGGATAGTTATTTTTCAAGATGTTTGCTGAATTTTATCTCTAAGTATGATGTGAACTACCTCGGTAGGGTTAATCCCTGAAAGGTGATCAATAAAAAACAAAAGATATTTTCTCAGGCTTTTAATTTTTGATTAAATTGTTTGACTGCTGTTGTTTTTTCTGTTGCTTTGATTACTGTTTTACCGATGCTTCTAAATTTTATTTTTATTTCGTAAGCTGGCCTGGAAATGTTTACCACCACTGAAGGCTGAAGTTTATAAAAAAAATGCAAAAATGCAAAAATTCTTCCCTGACTTCTAACTTGTATGCATTACTCAAGACAGCGTACAACCTTTAAAATAACTATATCCCCGTAAAACAGCAGTACCAAATGAAATGGAACGCAGTGGAGGATGGCACATCCCTTTATAGCCAGTGGGAAAGGAGCAAGAACAGTCTCAGTTTCCCTTTAAGAATCTGAGATCACAGCATCCGAACTTAAGCTTATGTGTAAAGAAGGGATGTGTGTTTGCCTCATGGGAGATTTGTAGGATCAAAAAGTGTATGTTTGTGGGATGATCTGACGATAACTCAACCCTTCAACTTTTACATTGTTGGTTTTATTATTTGTGTTAGTTTGACTTCTGTTGCATGGAAAGATAAATGTTCTTTGATGGAAAAGAATGCATTGTTCCAAGTGACTCTACCTGAAGTCTATCTAGCTCATTTTGATGAGGCTAACAAAACAGTGTGCCATCATTTCTTAGACCAGTTTTACAACTTTTTTCAGTTAGAATCCAGCTAACTAGAGAACCACAGGATAGATCAGCATTGCAACATTTGTCTTGTGCTAGAGTTGCAGCATTTTCTGGCACAAGGCAAGATTCTTAATGAAGTAACGAGCTTATCACAAACCACATTTTTCTCCAACTAATCCCTGAGTGGCAAAATTCATATAAAATAACAAATACTGTATGCCATTACTCCTAGTCCAAAGTATAAATGCTGAAAACCATCTCACGCTGTATGTTGAGGGATCCCTTCCCTCCAGCTATGTCATTGAGCCACACAGCTAAAAATATAAAACTTGGAAGAGGTGGGAGCCTGCTCAGATAGAAATGGCTATCTGCTTCACAAGTCGCCTTTCCACGCATAAGGAGCTGGGATAAACCCCATGGCTTTGTGGTGGTGGTGGTGGCAGCACTAAACATGTAACCCCTTTGTATCCTTGTTGTTGCCTGTTTGCACGAGTAACACACAGAGAGGGCTTAATTCATGAGCAGTGCTGCTTTCATTGTCATCATTATCATTTTCATTTTCTTATGGCTCGATGCGCAAACTGCAGCATGCACACTCCTTTTTTTCTCATGGTATTGCTCCAGAAGAGCAGTACTGTAGTGCAACACCAAGATGAAAGTTAGCTCCTACTAATCCAATTAATTTGTAGACCGTATGGCTTTTTCCAGTGACTATAACTCCTTTCATTCTTATTCTCATTTTAATGCATGATGGGGTTGAGGATGAGTGGTAGAGGTTTAACCAAGGTCAACTTTAATGGTTAATAACTTATCAGGGATTTGAAGGCAGGGTTCTCAAGGCAGGTCAAATCGGTCCATGCTATCTGCTAGGTCATGCTGGAAATTTAGTTAGAGATTACCAGACTAAAATCAGTATTAGGCTATGTTGGCCATTGAGAGTTCCCTTTTTGAACAGAAGATGCATCCAGATCAGAATTCCTAGTAATTTTTCATCTTGTCTCTCTTCTTTGACACTGTTTTTAACACTGTTTTACTTAGATTCCTCCTTGAAGAATTGTGAATGTGGGTTTTTTAATTTTCCCTTCCCAGGAATGCAGAAGTTGTCTAGTTGTACCTATCTAAACACTGATAAACATTCACTAAAAAACCAAAATAGAGAGCTGAGGCTTTGTTTGTTGACATTAGATTAACAAGAACTGTATGCATTGATGTAAATTCTCTCTGACCTGCCTCCTACCCATCCTGTGTCTATTCAATCTACCGATTTGGTTGGAAGGCAAAATATCAATCCAGCTCCCTCCTCCTGTTGTTGAGGAGTTGTCCATGAGGTTGTTTCCCACTTTTACCAATGATTAACTGTATTAAAGGATTCCTCTCAGAACCACGTGGGTCTGAGCTCTATCATTTGCTTTGATCTGCTTATGTTCTTCTGAGGATAAGAGTGTGGGTTTTTGTGTCATGTCTTTTCTGAATGCTGTTACCTAGACTCGTTCCACTGGAGTTTGGAAAACCTCTTCATAAATGGAAATTTCCTCACTGCATCATAAGGTATTGGGTGAATTCACATTCTGTAGGATCAGTTCATGGAGGTTCAATTTCATAATGTGTGAAGGCTGAAAGGGTTGGGATTTTGAAAGTAAAATGACATGTAAGCAGATTGGTCTGTGACTGCTGCAGTTTTTCAAAAGTTTGTACGTGCCATTTTGTTGAAACCACTATGTGGGGCAATCAAACCACACTGCTGAAACGTTTTATCTATCAAGAGTCTCCCCTGACTAAGCCCCTCACCAGCCTACTCTGTTGAACTGCATTTAAACTGTGATAGACTCTCTTGCTTGCCTGGATGGTGGATTTGTGTGTGTGTGTGTGTGTGTGTGTGTGTAGTAGTAGTAGTAGTAGTAGTAGTAGCAGCAGCAGCAGCAGCAGCAAGGGTTGTGTACAGCCCCCCAGATCCATTTTGTGACCTATTCCAGCACTTCATGGTAACCCCAACCTGGGTCAATCGGGGTGATCTAACTTGGATGCAGACCACAAACCAAATTTTGTGCTTGCATAGTGTTTAAAATACTAATTAAAATGTGGTTCAGAGGAGAGGGAGGACTCCACCGAATCCTGGATCCCAATTTGGTTCAGGATCTAGGATTCATCTAGAATTGGTGCACAGCCCTATGACATCTGCATGGCTGGAATGTACACTACTGCACAAAGGTAAGAGTCATGCACATTGATCCCCTTGCTTTAGCCTTTGGCCCTTTCCACCCTTGACAGGTGTTGCACCTCCTGGAAGGTTGGTCATGAAGAAATTTTCTTCCCTCGGACTGAAGGGGTTCCCAACCCTGTTAGAGCCTTCCATCCTGTTGAATACCTTCTGAATTGGGGAGCACCACGCAGCGAAAAAGAAGCCCCAAAATGTAGCAAAACCATGCAAAGTCCTACTGAATGCGTAAGTGTATTCTGGACTTGGTTTTTCAAATGATAGAATCACAGACCTGGCTGTTCTTCCTGACAATATTTGCGTGTGGTTGAAGATTAGAATAATCACTAGTGACAACAGTTCTCTAGAGGAAAATGGCCATGAAATTTCCGAGTTCTTTACTAAGGGAATTTAATTACTTTGGACCAGTAATAGCTTTACAGAAAGACAATCCAGAGCCAAATAAATTGCTACAATGAAAATGGATTATTGTCTTTTAAGACAAGACTGTCCATATTATGCAAATTGCAGTGCTTAGCATGCATTGATGGAGAGATTAAAAAAAAACATTGCAATCAATTTATCATGGAGTTCAGGATACTCAGGAGAGCTAAGAGGAACGGAGCATTCCGCATAACATATCTTCTAACATTCTTCAGCAAAGGGAATATGTAAATCATTTTTTCACTTAATTTTTAGCCAATGGGCTATTCAAGCAGGGTAAACTTATGGAGCTAATTTCCATACCTCAAAATGAGAAGTTCAGTTTCCATTGGGGAACATTGGTACGCAGGTCCTGTATATTTAATAACATTGCTGTAGAATTTGGAGGCATTCTTCAAAGAACGGAGTAGGAGGAACATAGATCTGTACTCTTTTATCCTATTATTATAAGAAGAAAACCATCTGGGTACATATCAGCATCTAGTAAATATTCTTTGTCCTCCAATCCACCCAGGACATGGTGATTTTATTAGTAAAGCATCATGGTGAAATCGAGGTTATCATGGATAGGGCCTGAGAGTTTTAGGTTTACAAAACATTTGCAGTTTAGTGCTGTATCCCTCCAAAGCTGGGGGGTGTTTTTGATTAACCAATTATCCTGAGCCCCTTGAGGAAGATTTTGAGAATTCAGAGTGGGAAAAGAGGATACTGTGAGTGGATGAATATACAAATCTGTTCACTGCTGAGCCATCTAAGCAGCATTTGGGCTATAATCAACTCAATATGTAATGCAAATTAAAGGTCCATATGAAATGGACTCAAGTCAGGGGAATGTAATCGTATCTGTCTGTCTTTGAGGGTGAAAGCACAGTCTTCAGAGGGTACTTCTGGTATTGGATGCTATAAGAATTCCTTGACAAACAGCGTAGAAGTGGTGCATTAGAAGTAATTGTGGTTTAAAGGATGGGGAGTCTCCCCCCTTTTTTTGTTGAACCTTTCATCGCTTCCTGCTCTCACACAAACATCCCCCCTCCCCCGTTCTGCTAAGTGGTGTAACAGAATGTGTAGTTCAGGTCTGGCAAACCCACAGCTCATGGGAAGAGGTGGGGTCAGGCAGTAATGAGACTGAACCAGAACCATCAGGCCTTATGGCATCCCGGCTTATGTTACCATCACCAATAGAGAGTCAGGACTCACAGGCAGAAGCTGAGCCACCTCCAAGCCCAAGAATAACTTCCATACAAGCTGTGAACCTGATTTCCCTGTGTGTATGGCATCTCTTGCTGATGTTCTCCGACCTCCACACATGACCTTGGACTGTGGCATGACCTTGCTCTCTGGACCATTCCATAAATGGGCTGTTACATGGCAGTCAGCTGCTCCTTCCTTCTGATTTAAGAACAGAAACAGAGTACCCTTACTCAATAAACTACTTTACTTTCATAGAATCCTAGAATTAGAGAGTTGGAGTGGATCACAAGGGTCATCTAGTCCAACCCCCTGCAGTGCAGGATTTTTCACCTGACATCGGGCTCAAACCCATGACCCTCAGGTTAACAGTCTCAGGCTCTACCAACTGAGCTATGATCTGGATTTCATCTTCTTCCAGACTTCCCTTTCGCTTATTAATGTGTGTGTGTTCATTGGGAGTTCAGCTGGAGACTTCTCAAGGCCCACATACATAGTGGCTTAGAGTAGTTCAAATTCTGTGCTGAGAAAACTATGGAGATAAGTTAATGTGCATAGGTTTAGATAGTTTGATTTATTCTGTTTACAAAATTCAGGTTTTCAAGTTGGTTGCAACTTGAGCAGGAAGAAATCAAATTTGAATAATGTTATGCGGAGAGTTCAAGGAACTGTGCAGGGCACAAAAACCCCGTCTTTAGACCCCTGGAAAACAAACCCCCAAATTTGCTTCCTCTCTCTGTGTTTGAGACACATGGTCAACACTTTTAAAACACCAGTTTTTCAAGTTTTACATGAGCTTTCAAGTTTTGCACATTTTGAAGTTGTAACTTAAATTCTTAGGCTGACAGACATTATGTCCCATGTTTACGTAATAGATCTGCAGAGATTTTGTAGCCCCTGACTTTAATAGAGCGAATGTTACTCTTTTTAGATTTTTTTTATTTTTATGCATGGATTTTTGTTCAGCTAAGCAGAGTCACTTTTGGAGATAAAGGGATTTATTTTACCCTTGCAAGATTAGAAGCTCTGTAAGACTCGCCTTACACTGTCAGGGATGCCCAAGGTGATTACTGAGGCTGTTGATTCACTATCTTTGGTTGCTGTCCGGGGTCACTGTTGGGTGATTTGCTCTGAATTCTAAACTGTGCACACCTCTGCATGCAAATACCAGATAATGGCCTGGAGTGCTTCTTACAACCATTAATCTTATACTGAAAGAGAGAAATGAAGCAAGAACCCACAAATTATCTGGGCATTTTTTCTTTAGCTTCCATCTCCAACTTGCTTCATATTAACCCTCTGATAGGGTAAACTATTTGAACATGTGCTTAATCTCAGGTTTAAAAAAACCAATTTGATTTCTAAATCACCACACAATGCTTTTGTTTATACTTTTTATGTGTCGTATTTAGTGATAGGTAAATCTGTCAATTTCGGTTCCTATGAACAACATCCAAATTTGAACACACAGGGGAGAGATGTCTGATATATCTTCTTTATGGTTTTTTTATATTTAGTTCTCCACATTGGTTTGCAGTGTTTCTCTCTCTCAAAATTCATTAGAATTTGAGTGTGCGTGTCTTCTAATATACACATGTTTACATGCAATTTTGCCTAATATACATATCTGTGCAAAACAAGTTTCTCTAATATAATTTATTTTTATTTGATTTTTCACTAAATGCCCTTTTTGTTCACATTTCTTTGCTTACCCAAGTAATGGGTAACGTCAAAATGGGCATGTCAAACACTGAAATCCCTTGACAGAGAGATTTGATGCACCTCTGGGAGGATTCCTCCTCCTCCATCTGTTAGGTGATTCCCCCACCCTAAGGGGGAGGAAACCTTAGCTTGGGGACCATGCAAATGGTGACATTCCTGGCAGCATCCTGGCTTCTTAGATAGGAGGGCCCCCAGCCTCTCCCTTCTTTCACTGTGCTTTTGGTCAAAGTGGTGAGGAGCTCTCTCTTAATGCTTTGGCATCACCATCTGCTTGGTATCATGACCGTACCTTGCCATTGACATTTCCCACTGGACATTCTGTATGCTGTGGGTCTACTGTCATGATTCCAAATAGGAGACACCACAGCATCAGGAAGTTCTAAAGGCATTTCCTTTACTGTTGAAAGAAGCATGGCGAAAAATGAGTAGGACTCTCTAAGAAGCAACTAGAATATTGATCCCCAAGGGGATAGTGTGTGTGTTTGTGGGTACGTACCTGTCTAGGATTGGGTGGGTGGCCTGCTGGAGGTGTGCTATATTGCCTTACCTGGTTCTTCTCACAGAAATCAAGCAGCAACATTTACCTGTGTAAGTAATCCTGCTCAGTTTCTTATGATAACCCCAGTTAGTGGGATGTATCCCACCCCTACTCCCCAACCAACTGCTCTAGGGATCAAATACCCCTTGTAGTCTAGGAGGGAAAGTAAACTAAAAAAAGTCAGTGTCTGGGTTGAGGACGTAGGAGACTGAAAGTTATAAGCTCTAGAAATGTAGCAGAGCCACTCAGATAATGCACCACTGATGATGCCTTGGTTCTTTGTGGGCATGGAAGCCTCTGTATTGACTCTGTTGCAGTTTGCTGGCTCTATTTGTTCTTCTTCAGACAGGCCCAGAGAGCACATAGGAAACTCTTCTGAAACGAAATATCAAAGCTTCTTTTATTAAAGTTAATTTAGCCTACAAAGCAGAAAGTGGTGGTTTGAGAGAAACAAACTAGAAAAAGAACATGTTACATAATTTCCAGCACCCTGTGAACAACATCCAAATTTGAACACACAAGAGGATAGAAGTCTGATATATCTTCTTTATGGATTTTTATATTATTTTATTATTTATTGAATTCATATATTGCCCTATACCCAGAGGTCTCAGGGTGGTTCACAGAATAATATCAAAATATAACAACACCCCAATAACCCCCCACCCCACCCCCCATTTTAAAAGGGCATAGGATGTCAATCAAATCAGCCAAAGGCCTGGTTAAAAAGGAATGTTTTTGCTTGGAGCCTAAGGGTGTATAATGAAGGCGCCAGGCGAACTTCTATGGGCAGAGCATTCCACAGATGGGGGGGCACTGCAGAGAAGGCCCGTTCTCTTGTTGATCCATTACAATGTAAACTGAGCATTGCTAAAATCTTTCTGGCTTCAGGCGGATTGAAATACATTCTTAACTACACAGATTTGGTTTGCAAAACCAGGAGGGGTTAGGAGCTTATGTTTAAATGTTTAGACCATATTGTGTTTTGTTTTGTTTTGTTTTGTTAATTCACAGATACTTGAGTTTTGTTTTTTTAACGAGAGTGGATTTGCCAACATTAAAATAAGCAACCGGTAAATTTAGAATTGTTCCTGGCACACCTTCAGAAGAAAACATATTTCACTGAATGCAATAGCACACACAGACAGACAGACAAACAGACAGACAGACTAGTTATAACACTGGTTAAATAGCTCCATGGTTGGCAATACACTAGATAATGCAGGGCTAAATAATGCAGTTGCAGTAGTTATAACAACTCTGAAGAATGTGCATATCAAATTATCACCATGACCAAAAGTACTGACATACATCTGTTGGTGAGGAAATGTTACAATGCACAAACCCAGTTATCTTATGCTACCAATACTCATAATGCTTGTCATAGAGGTTTTTAAAAGCAATGCAACTGATTATCACTGGGGGTCTATCACTATAGTTAATCTTTCCACTGTTTACCTGTTGGACCAAAGTGTCCTCTTATCAGCTACTTAAACTGGTACTTGGTTGTGGCTTGAGAAATACTAAAAATACTTGATATTCACACGGTTTGTGCCTAGCATTTCTGGAAGCTAGATTTCTTAAAAGCTTCTTTGGATAACTGGCAGGGACTTAATCTTTTTTTTTTTTTTTTAAATATACTTGCTAGTCAGTAGCAGCCAATGGGGCAGTGCAGGTGGGGCTCTGTTGCTCCTCCTGCTTCCCAACACTGCAGGTTGCTGCTGCTTACTGGGAGATACAGGATGCAGGGATCTTGATGCCGTGCTGCAAATGGGGGCAGCAGCATTGGATTGGCTGCACCATGTGTTGCCAGAAAAGCAACAGTGACCTGCAGTGCTGAGAAGCTGGAAGAGCAACGGAGCCCGAGCTGTGCTGCCAGCACCGGCTGCGGCTGTTGCTAGTCATAACCTGTAGTCGCAGCTTCAGTAGTTCATTCTGCACTTGTCAAAAATGCTGTGAGTCTTTTGAAGCATCTCTGCTTTAATAGGGAGACTTATTAGGGGAAGTTAAGCGGCAAACGATCAATACAAATTGCAAAAAATAAGGCTTTGGAAATGTAACATGTACCCAAAATGGGACTTTTGAAAGGGTGATACAAAGAGGATACTGATTGAGGTATAATTATCTCTAACTACATGATGAGAAATGATGGCGAACATAAACATAATATCAGTTGAAATGAATAGCAAAGGATTTAAGATATTTCTGGAGAGAACTAGAAGGCACTGAGAAAATAACCATGGCAGAAAAGGAACAAAATTTGACATTACCTTTCTGAGCATGTACATCCTTTAGTACTGCAAAAATTTCCATTGGTAGTTGTATGTACAAGCTAATAGGCTTCGCATTTGGGGGGATTACGTCTTGCCCCACACTGTTTCTGCATCTCTATCATCTCCCAGTTTGCTGCTGCTCTGCTCAGCTGTACCTAAAGTGATATGAGGTGATTATTATTTTTTCCATTGGCATTTCTTAAATGATGTTGCTGCCAATGGAGATAAGCAAAATAAACTTAGTTGCTGCATTAAACCAGAATCCACTTAGAAGAGCATCAGTGCAAGTTACTGAAGCAAGTTGAACTTTGTGAGACATCGCTTTTAAGCTGAGATTTGTAGAAGTTGTCACATTGCCCCACCTCCCAAAGATTTAACTCACTTTTATAAAATGTGTATACTTCTTTTCATTGCAGTTGTCTTGAATTTTCACCAAATGAGTTGTCTTGGTTGGTTAGGCCCAAATTACACTTAAGCATTGCTTTGCCCCAATTGCGTATGGAGGGTGAGGGGTGGTGGTCCGGTTCAAAGAGCAGAAGTGTGGAGAAGGAGTGCTGTGCCCTCTCCATACCTTTTGCACCCCAACATTTCTCTCTCAACTCTGCTGACATCTTCTGTGGTAGTGATGAGAGACATCTGGCCCTCCATATGTTGTTAGGCTCCAGATTCCAGCAGCCCCAGCCAGCATGACCAAAGGTCAGGGAATTGCAGTCCAGCAGCAACTGGAGGGTTCCATATTGGGTAACCCTACTGTTAAGTTGTGGGTGAACATATCAGACGACACAGCAATTCTTCAAGCAGCTCTTTTTATTCACAGGCCAGAACAGAACTGAACTGAAGGGTTCAGCCAGCCTGCTTATATAGAGCTCCAGTACAACGCAACTGTAACCACTTTCTGTAACTATCCAATCACTGAATGTCACTTTCAATCCCCTATTTGCATATGTGGACCTGAGTGAAAACTATCTACAGTATCCCCCTGCTGGCCCAGGGTGAGAACTTTAGTACATAACACCTCCGCTATCGGATCCCATCTGAGGAGACAAATCATGTTGGCAGGCAGTCTTCTGTGAAGGAAGTCACACGTTGGGGCGTGGGGCAGTCTACCACTCCTCACTTGTGCACCCATATTGCTCTTAACATCTGACCTCTTACCCTGTTCTATACATGATTGACCCAGGTTTAAATACATGGCTGTGCTGCTGCTGTTGCTGGAGTCTTGTTTTTCTTTTATAGTAAATGACTGTATCATTTGTGAAACAGGACATCATCATTTTTGTATTTTTCCAGCCTGGCTGCGAAGGGTGTGATTGAGGTATATCTAACAGATAAGTTAGAACACAGTTCTTTCTTTTGGGATTTCTTATGACATATACACAACTTGAAATGAAAAGAAACACTGAAGGCTGGAATAATGACTGTTTACATGGCCAATGCTTCCTTCCAGCCTATAGGAGTACTGTAATTCCAAGACTGAAGGGCTGAGTAGACTTACTGATTTAATTTATAAATCATTTCCTGTAAGAATCCCCAAACTGTGCTTCCAGCCTCGGTCTTGAATAGAAATAAAAGTGCGTCAGCTGCTCGGCTCATTCCTGTATGTGAACCAATGCACATGCATTGAATAACTCAGGAGCCTAAGAACAATTCTTGACTATTCTTTGCTAATGTGCACACTGGGTAAGAAAACCTTTGCCCTGATTTCTTAGAATTGTAGAGTTGGAAGGGACCACAAGGGTCCTCTAGTCCAACTCCTCAATTCACATAACGAAGGTATAGCTCTGCCAAAGCCTGTCTGCTGCTGTTCCTCACACCACAGAGGAAGAGGTTAAAAAGCCCTTTGTGTTTGTGTCAGTAGGGGAAGCAAATGTTGCTGCCCATCAGCCCTTCCTCAATTCAAATACAGTCATACCTCATGTTACATCCGCTTCATGTTACATTCTTTCAGGTTACGTCCCACAGTGACCCGGAAGTACCGGAAAGGGTTACTTCTGAGTTTCGCCGCTCACGCATGCGCAGAAGCGCAAAATGACATCACACGCATGCGTAGAAGTGGTGAATCGCAACCTGCACATGTGCAGACATGCCACTGTGGGTTGCGTTCTTTTCATGTTGTGAATGGGCCTCCAGAACGGATCCCATTCTTAACCAGAGGTACCACTGTATGGCCCCTGTGAACAAAAAGGCTCAGAAGATGTGACATCAACCTTGCCCGAACAGGGAGGAAATTGTCATGGAAATGTGATTGCAGCCCACTCACACTATTCTATAAATGGCATTGATTTGAAGGCCAGTGACTGTCGGTGTACAATGAAACAAAAATGTTTGTGTGATTATGAATCTGACATTGCAACTGTCAGCTAAGGCTGGCGTCTTGTCATGTTGTTGTTCATGATTCTCTATACTTTCCCTTAACCATGCTAGCTCTTTCAAAGGGCGTTGTTTACAAGATTTCTAAATGGGGGACTAAAATGGATGTGTCAATATGAACAAAGGTGTAGAAAATTATCCTTATTATTATTATTATGCTTATCACATGCTGGGGACAAAAACGTGGAGGACAGACATAATCCTGGCTTCTGATCTTCCTTGGTTGAACTGAAATCATAGAAGGGGTTGAGAGCAAGCCTAGCTGAATCGTTACTCAGCATGGAAAGTCTTATGTTCTTAAAGAAGTTAACTGGGCAGCTTAAAAACTCAGAACACCAAGTCTGCAACAATGAAACCACTTATTTTGAACCCATGCCATTTCTTTTTTTAAGTTAGCAAGGCCACCTTCAGAGTAAATTGTTATAGGTTGGGGTGATTATATATATAGTTTAAGATTAAGAGAAACATTTCTTTGTAGAAAAGATATCTAATAATGGGAGTGTTTAGACTTGAGAATTGCTGATTTATCCAAAAACAATTGGCTTAATCATGCTGCATTTATGAGGAACAGAGAAAGAGAAATTGGAAGATTAAACAACAGTAGTGAAAAATTTGTGCTGCAAAACAAAAATTGTATCCTTCTATTCTGAGCGGAAGTCTGCAGTACAGATTTAGCTATGATTAAATCTTACATTTTGCAGAATGTATAAAAACCACCCATTTAAGTTATCAAGGATGATTGCTCCTCATGCATGATTTTGCTCTGAAAAGATGTCGAACAGCATCTTTTCATTCTGTCACAGCAAAGCTGCAGTTTCCCGTTTGTAAAAAACAGATGTTCAGGATTCTGCTTCTTTCCTTCCCAGCTCCAGCACCTGTTCAATTTTAACATTATCCCTCTACTTGGGGTGCTTTCAGATGTATGCTATGCAGGTGAGTGGTGCTGTTATCCAGAACATCAGCTACCTGCATTATACACATTCATAGTGCTGATGGTACAAATCAGTGCTGTGCCAAAAATATCTCCTGCAGGCTTTTCTTTTAACCATTCTACATCAATTAATGAGAAAAGTAATTGTATTTGAAAGTTATTAAAGAGGAGAGAAGAGTTCAGTGAAATCCTCATAGGTGGGGTGCAAGGGTAAGTTATAACGAGTCAGGTAAATTATAAATTCGCATATCCCTGTTGAGTATGAAATATTCTTAGAGACCAACTAAGTTTGTTATTGGTATGAGCTTTCGTGTGCATGCACACTTCTTCAGATACATCTGAAGTGTGTCTGAAGAAGTGTGCATGCACACAAAAGCTCATATCTTTAACAAACTTAGTTGGTCTCTAAGGTGCTACTTGTCAGGGAACTGCCATCGGAAGGAAGGGAGGTGAAAGGGCTCACACAGGTTGGGAGAGACTCAGCAGCTGAAGAGGGAACCAGTAGGGGGAGAGGAGCTGAGCTGAGGGAAAGTGAGCTGGAGGGATGGCTCAGAGACACTTCCAGCGAAAACAGTGGGGAGGTTTCAGGACCTCCTGTAGGAACACCCACTCCTCGCCGGAAACTGTCACGCAGAGAGTCCAGAAGACGTGTTTCCGTTAAGGAGCTTTTATGTTGGAAGCGATTCCGAAAGCAACCACTGTCGGAATCTGCTAGTGACTAGAGGAGCCATGTCTGAGGGGCTCCGTCACAGACAGAGGTTTGTGGACTTGAACAAACTCTGAGGGGATACTATTTTACGCACAAGCAGCTCATCATCCCATCACAGCATTCCGACAGTCTTTGAAAGCAGCTTGTGCAGGAGAAGGCATCATGAGCAACCCAGCCGGAACCGGAGAAGCAGGAGCTGGAGCGGGTCCAAGCCTGGAAGAAAGGTACCGGGTGTTGGAGGTCCAGCTAGCGCTGCAGACGGCGAGGCTTGAGGAGAGGAGGGCTCAGGATGCAGACAAAAGGGGAAAGCCACCCAGCTCGCCAGAAAGGTACCAGGATTGGTGCAGAAGTTTGGGGGGGAGCCCAAAGACTATCATGGCTTTCGGACAGAGATGCAATATGCCCTCAATCTGCAGTTTGATGAATTCCTGACGAGGAATCACGAGTGGCTTTCGTGATTGGGCATCTTGAAAAGGGGGCGAGAGACTGGGTTAGACCCCTGCTGGCAGCGAATAGTGACGTCCTAAAGGACACGATGAAGTTCTTTCGCGCCATGGATCTGATGTTTTCCAGCGATATTGAACAGGGAGTGGTGCGGAGACAGTTAATGGCTTGCAAACAGGGGAGCCGATCTGTCCGTGAGTACTGGACTGAGTTCACCATGCTGGTTCACAGATTGGGGTGGGACTTATCGGCGGAACCCATTCAAATGCTCTTTGAAGAAGGGCTTTCTTCGGCTGTGAAAGACGAACTTTCCCGGGCGCCCAGGGCGGAGTCTATGGACCAGCTGACCAAATCAGCGCTGACCATAGGAGCGCGCCAGGAGGCGAGAGCATTGGAGAGGCGGGAAGGGAAGGGGGAACGTTGGAAGGAGTTCCGCATTCCAGACATTCCAGAGCCAACTTTCCCGCCGGCAGAGCCGATGGAAATCGGAACAGCAGCGCGCGCGCGCAGTTTCAAAGCCCAGTGAGGGGGAAAGAAGGAGGGAAAACGCGCCCGGAAATGCTATCTCTGCCAACAGCCAGGTCACTTTGCCAGAGTCTGCCCCCAGAGGAAGGAATGGCAAGGGATGGTAGGAGCTGTGGAGGGAAGAGAGGAAGAAATACCGGAGCAAGTAAAGCCAACGCCTGGCTGCCACCGTCGGGGCACAGCAGCCAGGCCAAAGAGCAGTGAGAGTGCCCACGCCAGAACCTCCTAAACCCGCCCTAGTGATAGAAGTGGCGCTAGAGCTGCCAAACGGACACCCTCTAAAGATAAAGGCGCTGTTGGACTCAGGCAGCTCCTGCAATTTCATGAGCAAAGAGTTTGCAGCTGAACACCAGATACAGACGATCCCTTTAAGCAACCCCTGCAGGTGACCACGATCGATGGCAGGGAGCTGTTGGGAGGAGAAGTCAGCTTGCAGACCGTCCCAATGATAATGAAGGTGGCAAGGCACACCGAACTGATAGCGTTTAATGTGGCCACCTTGGGAGGAGCTCCCATTATATTGGGGATGAGCTGGCTAGCGTTACATGATCCGCTGGTGGGCTGGCATCAGAGAGTGGTTTCTTTTGGTTCAGCACATTGCTTAGAACACTGCAAAGAGGGAAAGGGTTTGGCAGGGGCCCAAGCCACCCTAGCAGGGACTGAAGTAACGGAGAACGTGAAGGTACCACGACAATACGCAGATCTCCGCGACGTCTTCAGCGAAAGGGAAGCTGACCAACTACCCCCGCATAGACCCTTTGACTGTCAAATCAATTTACTCCCTGGGGCACAGCTCCCTGTAGGCAAGCTGTACGCCATGTCAGACAGAGAGATGCAGGAGCTAAGAGAGTTCATTGACAAGAACCTGAAGAGAGGGTTCATCAGAGAGTCCAGGGCGGTGGGGGCAGCCCAGTGTTTTTTGTGGATAAGAAAACACGAACAAGCCGAGGCTGGTGTGTGACTTCAGGGCCTTAAATGCAGTGTCAGAACCAGTGGCCTTCCCTATGCCCAGGATTGACGACATTTTGACAAGGGTGCGGAAGGGAAAGATTTTCACAAAGCTGGACCTAAGGGGGGCGTACAACCTGATACGAATAAGGAAGGGGGATGAATGGAAAACCACCATGTTCACCCCTTTAGGGGCATTTGAATATTTGGTTATGCCCTTCGGCCTACAAGCAGGCTCCGCATGCTTTCAATCGTTTATGAACCACGTCCTGGGGCCTTTGCTTTACAAGAATTGTGTGGCCTTCTTAGACGACGTGTTGGTGTATTCTGAGAATGAGGAGCAGCATGTGAGAGACGTCAGAGAAGTGTTGAGCAGGCTGCAAGCCAACCAGCTGTGGGTGAAACTGGAGAAGTGTCAGTTTCATACCAAGGAGGTGGAATTCCTGGGGTATCGCCTGTCAGACAAGGGATTGGCCATGGATCCCGGCAAGGTCCAGGCGGTGCTGGAATGGAAAACACCCAAAACAAGGAAGGATGTGCAGAGGTTCCTAGGATTTGGGAACTTCTATCGTAAGTTCATCCGAAACTTTGCCCACCTGACGGCGCCCATTACGGACTGTCTCAGCAGTAAGAAGAAGTACGATTGGACTGAGGAGGCGGAGCGAGCATTTGAGGCACTAAAAAGGGCCTTCGCCTCGGAACAACAACTCCTGCATGTGGATTTACAAAAACCGATGAGAGTGGAAACTGACGCATCAGACAGAGCGATTGGGGCGGTGCTTCTGCAGCCAGGGAAGGAGGAGTCAGAGTGGAGACCGTGTGCTTTTTTTCGCGAAAGCTGAACAAATCCGAGAGGAACTACACGGTGTATGACCGAGAACTACTAGCCATTCATGAGGCGTTCCGGAGATGGAGGCACCTGCTAATTGGCGCACAACATAAGGTGCAAGTGTGCACTGACCACAAGAACCTAGAGTATTGGAGGACGGCACGAGTGCTCAACCAACGGCAAGTGAGATGGGCCCAGGAGTTCTCCAAATTTAACTTTGAGATTGGTTACGTGCCAGGCCCAGAGAACATTAGGGCGGACGCTCTCTCACGCAAACCTGAATATTTGGAGGGGAGGGAGCACCCAAGAGAGACATGTCATTCCAGAGGACCGCTGGGTGTGTGGGGCGGCATTGGTGGGACAAAGAGAACTGGTAGAGGAAACAGAGAATGATGAATACGCCCAGAATAAGCTCAGAGGTCTTAGGGGTGAGGGAGAGGAACCAGGGGGTTTCGAGGAAAGAAATGGAGCTTTGTATTACAAAGGGGCACTGTATATCCCTGAAGGAGACTTAAGGGGAGGGTACTCAAGCAGTTGCACGACAGCCCTACGGCGGGCATTTTGGACAACACAAAACCATGTGGTTGGTCACCAGGGAATTTTGGTGGCCTAAGGTGAGGGAAGATGTACGTGAGTATGTAAGAGGGTGCGAGCAATGCCAGCGAGCCAAAGGGGAAAGGCGGGCGCCGGCGGGGCTATTAGAACCCTTACCAACCCCAGAACGACCTTGGGAGGCAGTGTCGATAGATTTTATGACTGATCTGCCGAAGTCCAAAGGGAAAACAGCCATCATGGTGGTGGTAGACCTACTAACAAAGATGTGCCACTTTGTAGCTTGCTCGCATGCAGTCACGGCGGAAGAGACAGCGGGTTATTTGTAGAACACATTTTTAGGTTGCACGGGGTGCCATTGAGGGTGGTCTCAGACCGAGGAAAACAATTTACTTCCAGGTTCTGGAGGAAGCTCATGAGCTTACTGCAGGTGGAGGTCAATTTTTCGACTGCCCGGCACCCTGAAACCAACGGGCAGGCGGAAAGAGCAAACGGTGTCCTCCAGCAATACCTGAGGTGTTATGTCAATGACAGAGAGAATGACTGGGTAGAAAAGTTGGCGCTGGCGGAATTTGCCTACAACAATGCCGAGAATGTGTCCACAGGGATGAGCCCTTCTTGGCTAATTATGGGTGTCATCCCAGGGCTTTCCCAGGGGAGATGGGGAGAGATGGAGCGTCCCGGCAGCCGAGCATTTTGTGGAAGAAATGGAAGCAATCCATCGTCAGCTCCAACTCAACTTAGAAAGGGCGAAGGAAGAATACAAGAGGCAGGCAGACAAGAACCGAAGGGAAGGTGAAACCATAAGGGTGGGAGATAGGGTGTGGCTGTCAACCCAAGGGCTGCCGCTCAAAGGAGGTTGTAAGAAATTAAGACCCAGGAGGTTGGGTCCCTTTGAGGTCATTCAACAGGTCAACCCAGTGGCTTTCAGGCTCCGGTTACCCAACCACATGAAACTGCACCCAGTATTTCACAGGTCGTTACTGTCACCGTACGAAGGGGGACGAGAAGGGATGGCCACTGGGACCGGGTCATAGAAGAAAGAGAATGCAGCAGCCATGTGGCAGAAATCCTCGACGCCAGGTGGAAGGGGGATCAGGTGGAGTATTTGGTAGCGTGGGAAGGAGAACCGGAGTCAGAAAACACTTGGGTAATGGCCGAAGATATCAATGACGAGGTATTGATAGAAACGTTCCATCAAAGGTTCCCAAGGAAACCTCAGCCTGTGGAGAGGTTCCGGAGGGAATACTTTGGGACCACTGATGAGGAGGAGGAGTTGGAAGGATTCCCGGACTCGGAAGGGGAAGGGGAGATGGACTCTGAGGAGGAGGAGTACTTCGAGACCAGGAACCGCAACAGGTGGAGAGAAGTGTTCGAGACATCGGAAGATGAAGG